AGATAATCAGAATGTTGAATTATCTGAATGAAGCCTACTCTTTTTCACAGTGTTGAGTTAACTGTATCACAATTATTAACAATTCCAATTATAATCAAACATCTTAATCATAATTTGCAATGGCTGCATCATATCCTATTAAGTTAATGCTCAAAACTTAGTTAATCATTCCCCAATTATGTGGGCAGTCGGTTTCCATGTTTTTTCTACTATAAGCAATGTAGTAATAAGTATTGTACAACAGTTTAATTAATAAATTCACTTCCATAGCATAAACTACCGTAATGGAATACTAGATTCATGTATCTACAATACTATAGGGTTTAGAGATTTATCAATAAATTGTTTTAGGAGAGGTCTTTAGTGATTTATTTTGAAATCTGCATTGCTTTAAATATTTCAGTTTTACAACATCTTGTTAACAATATAAATAATTATTTCCAAATTTGCTAATTAAACAGAATACAGCTCATGTTTTTTCACAATGAAAATAATTAAAACTGCAATTAAACTTCACTTTTTCTGTTTTCCTAGAGCAGAATTTCCTAACAGGTATTATGAGACCTATGCAGGTGTATAGAGAAGAGTGCTTAGCAATTTTTAAGTAGAAATGGAAACAGTTCAATCTTCCTGGATGGTCACCAGCTGCCCCACCCACTCGCCACAAACAGGTTGAGAAAAGTTATGGAAAAGCAAACTTAAGACTCACTGTTTTCATTTTCCCTATTTCAGTTGTATTTTATGTTCTTTGTTTTATTTTAAAAAATACTTACTTTTTGAAGTTTTAGGTTTACAAAAATATTGAGGAAAAAGTACAGAGTTCTCATGTGGGTGATACGTTATTTCAAATTCCAGTTTTTCATTGCTGGTATATATATAAAGTTCTTATATGAACTTTGTATCCTGCAACTAATAACTTACTAGTTCCAGGAGATTGTCATTATTTATTCTTCTGCATTTTTACATATATAAAACCATGTCTTCTGTGAACAAAGGTAGTGTTATTTCTTCTTCTCTAATATGTATACATTTCTTTTTTAAAATATGTATACATTTTTTTTTATTATTGCATCAGCAAGGGCTTTTAATATAATGCTGAATAGAAGTAGTGAAAGTAGACATGCTTGCTTATTTATTGGACTTAGGAAGAAAGCATTTAGCTTTTTACCATTAAGTATGATCTTAGCTGTAATGTTTTTATAGATGATATATATCAAGTTGTTTAAAGTTTATGATGATGTAAAATTTATTTTATTTTTGAATGTTGAACTAGTCTTGCATACCTGAAATAAATTCCATTTAGGCATGGTGTATAATTCTTTTTATACATTGTTGGGATTCAATTTACTACGAATTTATTGAACATTTCTGTATCTCCCTTTATGAAAGAATTGGTCTGTAGTTTTTCCTTATTGTAATGTTTCTGGTTTCACTATTAGGGTAATACAGGGCTCGGAGTGAGTTAAGAATTTTTCTTTCTGCTTTGATAATTTGGAAGAGATTGTAGAGAACTGGAATAATTTCTTCCTTAAGTGATTGTTAGAATCAATTCGCTAAGTCTATTGCTTTCGATCTTGGCAGGTTATTAATTGTTGAAATAGTCACTTTATTAGCATATAGGCCTGTTACATAGTCTTTTTCTCCTTGCATGATTTTTGTAGAGTGTGTCTTTAAAGGAATTGGTCCATTTCTTCCAGGTTTTCAAAGTTGTGGGCATAGAACTGTTCATAATATTCCTTCACTATCCTTTGCAGTCCATGTACTCAATAGTGATGTTTTCTACTTTTCTTAGCCAGTCGAAAGATTTATTAATCTTATTGATCTTTACAAATGACAAGCTTTGGGCTTTTGTTGATTTTTTTCTATTAACTTCTTGTTTTCAATTTCTTGAAATTGTGTTGTTTATATTACTCATTACTTTCTGTTTTCTTTGGGCTTAATTATTTTATTTTTCTAGTGTCTTAAGGTGAAAACTAAGATTAGTTTCAGAACTTCCCCCCTTTTCTCTCTTCTAATACAGTCAATGCAATAAAATTCTCTCTAAGTGTTTATTTCCTCTATCCCGTACATCTTCATAAAACATATTCTCCTCTTCATTTAGTTAAAAGTATTTCCAAGTTTTCCTTGAGGTTTACTCTTGACTCATGTGTGGTTTGGAAGAATGCTGTTTAATGTCCAACTATATGGGCAATTTTCCAGCTATCTTTTATTGATTTCTGGTTTTAAATTTATAATGGCTTGAGAATATATTTGTGTGTGTCTTAGGTACCAGAATGTGATCTTTCTTGGTGAAGGTTCTAGATGAGCTTGAGAAGAATATGTATTCTCTTTTGGGTTAGATGACATATTTTACAAATGTCCATTAGATTCAATTGATTAATAAAACTATTCAGGACAATTGCATCTTTACCTTTATTTGCTTGTTTTAACTCTCAATTACTGGAAAGCCAGACATTGAAATCTCCAATTGTAATAATGGATATCCTTTCCTGTCAGTTCTAACATTTTGCTTCACATATTTTGCTAAGTGAAATGATATTTAAGATAATTATGATTCCTTGTATATAAACATATCCAACCTAGCAAGTCATAAGCAATTATATAGAATTATTCCAAGATTTGAAGACTCAAATACACAATAAACTATCTTCTATAACCTCAAAGCAGTACTACCAATTCCATCAACTGTATTCTTTGATTAATAAAAAAGAAACAAGGAGATGTATGACCAGTTGAGACAACTGGTCCTACATTTCGTGTGAACCAATACTCCTACGTTAAAAAGAAAAGTCCAGGAAGCTTCCTATAGTTTCTACCACAACATTCCCCCTTTGAACAGCAATCTATCCAGTGATGGATAGATTGAAGGCAAAACAGGAATAAGGGTGTGAAACCAACAGAGAGGGGAGAAGTTCTGCTCTTAGAAACTTATTGCAGTAAGAAAATTCTTTACCTCTAAGTACTGGAAATGGTACACAAATAGTTTGAGACTTCTCTTTTGGCGATTACTATGGGAACTGTTTATCAACTCAGCATATTAAAGTCAAAATCAACTTACCTCTCAGACACCTAAATAGTAAATAAAGCAATGTAGTGTTACAGCAATATTAGAACATTACCAGATGCACTTTAGTATTTTCATTAGCTGTGGTTATCACTAGCTTCCCACCCCCTTTTCTGTGCTCATTTTAAGTAAAAGTTTTCAATTTTGTTTCAAGTAATCTACTTTTGTTACAAAGGAGCAGGTCTGAAGACTCTCCTGATATTATTTTGTATATTTGCTCACCTATTAGTGCACTGAGCTTGGATATACATACATATGATCCAAAAGCCAGAGTTTATGCTTCATCCTATGTGACATAAGAATTTAGACATCGACCTCAAAGTACTGGGTAATATTTAGCAGAAACAAAGCCAGATGAGTTTACATCTCTTCATCAATATTCTCTTACTACTACTTTGTAGCTGTTAGAACAAATCAAACCTGGCATATCAATATCAAAATATTTCAACTCCAATTTTTTTCAGTGCATGAACTCTTAACTATCAATTACCCCACTGGATGCCTCTTTATTGTTAACTTTAAGTTCTATAGATCATTAAGCTTCGAATGAGTATTCAACAGATGTGGTATGAGAACCTGCTTTGAAATAATTTGCTAAAAGATCTTGGGTGAGTCAATTCATCTCTCTACTTCTTCATCTTCTCACTTAAGGGGCTTAGAGTGTTACATGATTTCTAAGTTTCTTTTTGACTCCAAAAGTCTATGACTCTATTGCTAAAGAAGAAATGGGGGGTGGGGGGGAACTTAATTGAATTTCATGTCTTTCTATGACATAATTGAACATTTGCTACTGAGCACCAGCCAGAGAGCAATGGAAACTATAATTAGCTCCAAGATTTTCTACTGACTCAAATGGGAATGCCACTGTATTTTTGCTACTACTTTGATTCTTAGTAAAAGCGCCAGCATCTTCTTGGTCCCTGGGTTAAATCAATGTGTGCATTAGGTGATCATCGTCAGAGTGACCTCTAAAGGCTCTATCCTTTCACCGTTGCCCTTTTAAACAATTTTGTTAGTGATCTGAAGAAAGTATTTTCCAGGTAAAAGTTGGGAGAAAAAGCTAATATGTAACGACAGCATGCTGAGATTCAAACGAATGACAGTGAGACTTAAAAAAGAAAAAATAGGCCTAAGCAAGAAGATAGAAAATAACAGGGATAAAGGTTAACTCTTTTAGGCATTTGGCACCAAGAAGATGGAAAGGAGGTTATTTTGACAATAGTTGCATCTTCCCTTCTCTCTTCCTCTCTCCCAGTCCCTTAAATCTAGCTCAAGGAAGACCTATGAGGAGTTGATGGTGCTGCACAAAATGTTCAATCGTGAATGCATGTGTGAACTGCATTAATAGTGCTCAGATAAAACAAAGTGTCTACCCACTTCTCTCTGCACGCCAAGCCTCACCTGCGGATGCGCATCTACTTTGGAGCATTCTGCAAAGCCAGGTCCAGCAACATCCCGAGTTGGGTGGGAAACCAAATCACATGAGTTATTTAGGGTTCTTCAGAATTATTTAGGGTCTAGGGAGACTTTCACAGTAGACATCGGGAAGAAGAAAAGGAATGTCTTGTAGAAGAAAGCAGGGTTCAGTGCAAAAATTGGGGATGGCGGTAGGCGGGCCGCACAACTGAGGAAAGGCCAGCGGCTGGGGGCAGAGGCTCCGCGGTGCACGGAACGCCGCTGCGCACTCGCTGGGCGTCGTGGAGTGGCCGCGGGCCCCGCGGGGCGTCGCCGGCGGACAGGCGCGTTCCAGGGGTGCCGAGGGCCTTGCCGGCTGCGCGCCGTGACGGGTCGTGACGCTTCAATGGTTGCCCCGGCGCGTCGCGGGGTTCGGAGCGCAGGGAGAAGGGCGGGCGCCGGACCTCCTTTGGGCGCACCTCTCGGCGGGAACTGGCGGCTTCGACTGCGCCTCGGGCGGCCGTCCGGGGCGCCGAGCACCATGGGCCCCGGGGTCGCGGGCCGCGCGGCCGGGCTGCTGCTCACCGTGAGCTGGCTGCTCCTGGCGGGCCTCCCGGCCGCGTGCGGGGCCAACGTCACCGCCGCCATCCAGGACGCCGCGCTGGCCCGTGAAGCCGAGGCCGAGGGCGAGGCCGAAGGCGGAGGGGACGCGGCTGCGGCGGCGGAGAGCGAAAGCGACGCTGAAAACGAGGCCCAGACTGAGCCTGAGGATGACGGTGAGGGCAGCAGGTGCCTTCGCGGGCCTGGGGCACCTGTGACGGGCAAAGCCCAGCTCTCAAGACGAGGACAGTGGGCGCTTTCCGTGAGAACAGCTGTAGGGCGCAAGACATACCCGCCCCGAATTCACACTTTCACTCACCCAATAGCCTTGAAAACAGATGTGCCAACTGCACAGGGCCCTGGCAAGATAAACACAGGAACGCGGTTCTGAAATTGCTGCAGAAATGCTGCTAGCTGTTGCTCTGGACAAGGAAAATGAAGACTTACTCTCTTTTCAGGAGTAAGAGTTGGGGATGACCTCCCACCAAGGGAAATTACCTAGGTCTCTCCTTGTTACTTATGTTTTGCCTTTCCATTGTAGCTTTTTTATTTTTAAGTTGAAATTGCTTGAGGTCTTCCTGCTGTCACGTTTGCACCTTGGGCTGGAATCCAGAATTTCCCTCACGGCCACACATCTAGATAGACCACGATCTGTCAAAACTGCCCAGATGCCCCTGTCAGCTGCATGTGGCTCCGCTCTGGAGCACCTGTGTTTCACGGTGGTGGTTTATTTGTACATTTGATTAAAAGCCTCTGGACTGGCTGTAAAAAGCACGTATCAATCCCACTAGTGGCTTTGTTAGATGATACTGTAAAACATAGGAGAATGTGCCTGTGCCTGGTACATAAATTTGCCTTTGCTGCTGGATCATTAAGTAATAAAACTTGGCAGGCTATTGCACACGCTATACTGATCAGTAACTCAAATGCTGGTAGGTAAAAAGTGAGTTGCTTGTTGGTAGCCATCTAAAGGATCTGATTCCCTTCCTCTATAAATAACCCAGCTGAGATTCTGCATGCATGTAGCAGCATAAAGAGCAAGTAGGTGCTGTATTTATCAGTCTTTCTTTTATTTCCTGATGACCTTTAGTAGTGAGTCTCAGTGACAGAAAGAAATTGACTAGCTGAGGTTAATGGAAGGGATCAAGGTTTGTACCGCCTTGATAACATGACTTTACTGAGAGCTTGGAGAGGTCCTTGACTTTGCAAATGTGAAAATAAAAGACTAGGGAAGAAAAGATAATGTTCTAAAGTATAATGGTCGTTGTTTCACTCTAGTTTTAAAAGTATTTGAGTTAACATTTTTAGTATTTACTGGCCAAGTAGTAGTTCTAGCTGTAAAATGTTAAACACAGTTTTAACTAAACCCAGGGGATAGAGTTGTAATAGCCTAAATACAGATTCAAACTTAAGCAAGTTATTCTCTGAGTGCCACTTTCCTCATCTCTGAACTTCAAGGAGTCTATGTATTTTCTGGAATTTTATGCATATATGATTTCATGTAGAGATGGTTTTGCTGGAGAGAGAATACCAAACTTTAAACAGTGAGGTGTCTGAAATCTGAAATTTTTCAAAACCATTATTAAAATCTGGCAAAGTCCCTCAATTCTCAGGAGACTAATAAAAATAGTTATATATATACAATGGAATCTTTTTATCTTTAGGACATTTGGAAAAAAGTAGGAATAAAGGGATAGGGAAGAAGAAACATTTTTGAATTTTTAATAAGAATTTATACATGGAAAATCCTATATTTTAATTTATATCCCTGGCTTTGAAGATGGGTATACCCTAAATGAATATATTGGAAGTACTTTGAATGCATCTAACTACCCTTCAACAACTGACTGTGCATGAATCTGGAATGCATCCATCTTGTAAACAATGATTGCAAATTTCAAATACATCCCCAATAGATTCTAGTTCATCCTTTGAAGAGTCTGTTTTTTTTTTTCCACTTGCATTGTCAAAACAACATTTTTGAAAACTGTAAAGGCACATATTTTGTTGAAATAAAGACTGCCATCTTACTTCATAATTGCAAAACATCACTTTTAGATTTATAATCACTAACTAGAATGGTTGGTCCAATGAATTTTATTCATTTATGTATCATCTCTTTTCTGTCACCTTTGCATACACACCTGCCATCATGATTTTTCCATTTACAAATCTTAAGTAAATTTTGTTGTATACACAACTTATAAAGGGAAAAAAATACTCACCATATCCTTTTAGCTAAGTGGTATGGTCTGACTTATTTTTACAAAATATTTCAATATGCAGCTCCTCCTGATGAAAGATCAAGTGGATGTGAATACTATATGTATGTGTGTGTATATATGTGCGTATATAGAGATATATACATATATATATATATGTATCCTTTTATGCTTAGAAATATATTCATGTATTGATTCTTAAGTTAGGGAAAATTCATCTAGGATATTCATCTATAATAGCATCATCTCTCATTCTTTGCTTATATAATCAGTTTACCATCATCATTAGCACCTAAAATGTTGCTATCTATGTTCATCTTCTGATTCACGCAGTAATTGTGAAATGTTTTTCTTCTGTCAGTTTTCTTCTCTTTGGTCTTTATAGACCAAAGAGAAGAAAATTTCTAAAATTTCAACTGTGTTCAGTCAAAGCTGATGTTAGACAAGAAGAGTACCTCTAGACTTATATCTTTCTGAAAGGTGACACAATAGTTTGGTAAAACAATACAGAAGGAAAGGATTGTGCAATAGCTATGATTTATTTCACACTTGCATAGTATTTCTAGACAATGCCAACCATTCTTCAATTTTATTATTTTAGACTTTTTTAAAGAATCATAATTGAGTGTAATTAATGACTGACAATGGAATCTATCATTAGAGATTATGAAATAAACAACATGTTTCAAGATTTAGAAAAAAACCACTAAAATATTAAGTTAGATTTATAGTCATACATTTTATATCTTTCACATTCCCTTATATCTATTATAAATACTAAGGGTATAAATATATTTATATACTTATGGAAGGGATTAAGAAGAGACATATATAACAATTGAAAGATAGAATGAGTTTTTTTCTCTAAAAATAGTTTTATGTTCTGTAAATGTCACTTTATTTTCTCTTTTTCTTTGGAAGGCCTTTAAGAAACAAAAAAATCATGAAATATCAGCATTACAAATCAACTCCCCCACAAAAATTTCAAAAATTGAATTGGAGTCTATAGGTACATACCAACAGTTAAAAATGTGTCCAGAATTAAAGAGAACATTCCAGAATCTGATCAGAGCAAAAGTGAGTAGGCTCCTAGAAGGCTCCTTATAATATTATATATCATTGTGGATGCCAGGCTTTTATCATTATGGCCTAAGATCCAGTATATTTTTAGGAACGCCTCATCATACTCATGCCTTATATTCAGTGCCCCATTTATTTTTATTTTTTCCATCAAATTAAGAACACCTCTAAGTATATTTGGTAGAATTCACTTCAGTTCTACATGCAAAACTTTCTATTTCTCTAAGGTTTCATTTTACTAAGTTTGCTTATTATTCCACTGGATCACTTTTAGATCCAGATTTGTCTTCAAAACTTATGTGCTAACCTTCCGACCTTTGCAGACACCCTAGATTTAGTCAGCATGACATCAGTATTTTCCAGATCATTAGGGAAATGTTGAGCAGGACCAAATCCCATGACACATTCTTTCTACCACTTTGGAGCCAATCAATTAATTAACATCTGTGGACTTTACTCAGTTACACATAAACTGTCATGATAGTTAAACCATATTTTCCCATTTATATTCATTTGACAAATACCATATTGAAGTTCAGATACATCCAATTTTCCTCATCTACCACTATTACATTCCCACCAAAAAAGAAAGTCACTGAATAATCTAATGGGAATGCAGTGGTCAAAGCTGAAAGAGTTTAGAGACCATCTGATTTAATTTTCTCACTTTTTAATCAAATGAGAAATGTTCTCCTTTCCAAATTTTACAGGAGGGTTAACTAGGTCCAACAGAATTTAAGTAGTTTGCTCAAACTCAAAGCAATTAATTAGTAATAGAAGTTACAATTTGGACTCCTATTCCAATGCACTTTGTTATCTAATATTGTTGCCTAGGCTACAAGTCTTTTAAAAATCATCTTCCAATACCAATACCTTACTTAATACTTTTTTCTACTGAAATTTTAGTACTAATCTGAGTTAGAAGAGTTGGTTATATACTTCGGCTTGTGGGATTCATGCCAAACTTCAGAATGATTAGAAAAAGAGACAAAAATCTTAATGAAATTTCAAAGCAAAATTTAATTATTCAGATACTTAACAAATTCTGAGATTATCCTGCTAAATGTTATTATAAATTCATATGGATAATGTTAATCTTAATTCATTAATATTAACTTAAAAATAAGTAGAATTGATCTATCACTTAATTTTAATGAAAACCTGGTAAAAAGTATTCTTTGGGGATGGAAATGATACACTCAAATACTTTGGAAAATAGATAATAGAACAATTGGGCTTTAAAGTTGTCAGACTTTTTCATTTGGGTGTATTTTTCTGACATCTATAGAATTTTGACTCACCATCTACTAAAATGATGAGAAAATTGTTTTAAAATTTTATACAAGGTTTATATATATTTCCTTTGCAAATCATTTCTTAATTCATTTTGTTAAAACTTAGGCATCTTACTTTTTATTGAGCTATCATTGATGTATAGCACTGTACTTTTTTGAGAGACATAAGATCACACTTCTCCCATTACGTTACCATACCACCACACTTGCAACAAGGTACCCATAATCCTCCACCATAATCTAGGCCACCTCCATATTTTGTTCTCCATCCTTTCCCCTTCCCTCCAGCTGCTAAGCTCAGTTCTACAGTCAGGTTTTCTCAGATTTCTGAAGTTGTTATTGGTTTGGTTTTGTCTAATGCTTTGTTTTATTTCTATATATTCCACATATATGTGATACCATCCAATATTTGTATTTCCCCTTCAGACTTATTTGCTCACCATCATCCCTCCAGTTCCATCCATGTTGTTGCAAATAACAAGTCTACCTTTTTTATAGCTTATAGTATTCCATTTTATATATGTATCACTCATCTGTCCTTAAAGTAAAAAAAAAAATTTAGATTTCTTTTGACTTAATAACAGAAGACTTACCAGGAAAAAATACAGGAATGGGGTTGTTTTTATCATTTAATAAAACTTTAACAACGTTTGCTTCCTATATGATAAATACTGTATTGTCAGTACCCCAGTAAGTGTTTTTGCTTAGGAATACTTTCATATGATTAAATAATGTACCTTTGTACTTTATGTTTAGCTTCAAATTCGACAGTAGTGAAAGAAGTAGAATTTGGGATGTGCACAGTTACATGTGGTAAGTACATAGAGCTGATATTATTATCAGAAATCTGGAGGGGTTAAGGGAAGCTCAAAACAGTTTTTACTTTTTCCAAGTTTTACTTTCAATTTGTATACCTCATCTCTTATATTTCTAATAGTAGTAATATACATATAAAAAATATGGTGCTTTAAAAGATATTTTCAATTAGTAACCTCTAAATCATATTGTAAGCCTACTCACCATATAATTTTGTCACATAAACTGCCTTCACCAAAGTAAAATTTTATCTTACAATTGTTCAAACAGTGAAAGATCTTCTGATGCATTTTATACATGTCTTCCCATTTTCTCTGTTGGCAAATCTATTAAGAAATAAGCTTATTTATAATAGTCTATTTTAAAGTCAACATTTGTCCACTTTGAACATCATGTCTTGGAGGAAAAGAGGTTTTGTGGAGAAGGTAGTAATCAAATATCATGACTGTTTTGATGATTCCATAAATAGAAATTGGACAAAAACATCTAGCATAGGGTGGATTAAAATGACATTTGCTATAACAGACTAGTGTTTCTTAAACTTAAACATTCACCCTGAGTGAGTGCCTGAAAGGCTTATTAAAGCAAAGAATGCTGGGTTTATTCCAGTTTTTAGCTTACTTGGCCTTCTGACTTCCCTAAGCAATCGTAGCAAGTTTTCAAATGAAGCTGATATTTCTGGAGAGAAGACCATCTTTTGAGAATCGCTTCAACTTGTAAATTGAGAAGACAATAGATGGATCAAATAGCAGCAGCATCTGAAGTCTTGTAAGAAATGCAGAATTTCAAGATCTAGTCCTAATTCTGATGCAAATTCAAATTCTACTGAATCAAAATTTGTATTTTAGTAAATTCACTAGGTGATTTGCATGTACTAAAAAATTTGAGAAGCACTGATGTAAACCATCTCGCTTCTTTAACTTTCCCTTTTTCTGGAAAATGGGTTTCATGATTATCATCTTGTTGGGGTTGAAAAAGAGAATCTGACAGAAAGGAAATCAAGATGTACACTTAGTCTTAGCACAGTTCATTTACCTCAAACACGCTCAACATGTCACTAATCCAGCATTTTAGCATCTTCTTCAATTCT